TTTCAATTCTAAGAGTTCTGTCTTATGAAGACTGGGGACAGAATCCTTGGGAAGAAAAGAGATTAAATCTCTCAAAAACATTTTTTACTTGTCAAGAAACTTTCAATTACTTTGATTACCAGAATGCTTGGTATAAGGTTTTTCTTTTTAGACCAGTTACCCATTCTTGGTTTATCAATTTTAATCAAAATTGTAACCCTTACTTTCCGAGTTGGTTTCAAAATTGGTTTCTGTATCATGGACTTGAAGAACAAATTTTACCCAGTCTAGTTCTTCAAGGATATGAATACTTCAAAAGAGAGGCAAAACCTTTTCTCAAGCCTCAAGAAAATCTTTTGTTTCAATTTGCTTTCAATATGAAAGTTTCATGGATTTTCTGTTGGGATTTCTTCCATTATGAAAATTTTCAAGATATGTTCTCAACCCACAAAATTATGAGAAGATTCAAGATCAAGTGGTGGGCAAAATTTAAAGAAACAAACTGTTGTCCAAAAGTAGTTCAATCATGGATTCAAGAACAAAGAAATTTAGGTGTACCTAAATTCTCAAAGAAAGAACAAGAAGATTAAGCTGATTTTTTGACTGAAAAACAAAGAATCATTGCAATGTTATCAAAATGTAAAGATCCTAAAGAATTATTAGAAATTTACGATCAAATTTCTAAACAAGGATCTTCAAAAAATGTTTCTGATCAAGAAGAAGAATCTCAATATTCTCAAGAGACTGACAATGGTGATGACTTAGTTGATCTAGGTGATGACTATGCCGAGTATCTTGCTCAAGAGAAAGCTGCAAAAGTTTCAAAGAAGAAATCTACAAAATGACTATATGGACCTAGCTTTCTTGACGATTTGAGAAATTCAAGGGTCTATCAAGCAAGAGAAATTCTCCTCAATCTTTGTACAATTCAAAATCAATGGTGTTACACCTGTCAAGATTCCCATCAACTTTGTGTCAGACATCAATATCTACTTTAATAAAGAAAAGATTATCTTTATTAAAGGAAGTCAAAAATTGGAAACTTTTGACTAAAGTTGATGCTGCTTTTCAAGATGCTCCATTATGATGTCGTCCACTTCTCTTTTCAAGATTCTTTCTTCAAAATGAAAGAAATTTCAAGTCCGGACTTCATTATAAAAAGAGTTCAAGATTTCATTTCAAGTAGAGCGAATTTAGCAAGAAGAAGTTTTACTTTTCTTTGTAATTTGTTCTCTCAAATACCTTTCAATTATCCTTGTAATATTTAAATCTTCTTCAATTATCAATAAAAGTACCTATTTTCATAAATTATATATATATATATATATATATATATATATTTACATATATTTTGTTATATATATATATATATATATATATATATATATATATATATATATATTTTGGTCTGATTATACTCTCCTTTTCAATTATTGTCACTCTGAAATATTTACTGTGGTATTATGAATTGCCATTTTGTTCTGCAGAAAGGAATTGATGAGAACTGGGCTGCTGCCTTAGAATACAATCCTGAAGCTTTTGCAAGGGTGGTATGTACAAACGCTAAGTGGACTGTTTATTTTTGTTGTTTCTCAATATAAGCATCGAAGTTTAATGCTTTTTTTTTTTTTTTCAGGTTATGTTGTATGTTGACATGGAAGTTAATAGTGTTCCTTTGAAGGTACTGGATTCGTAAATAGTGTGACTTGGACTTCCTTGCTGTTTTTTCATCTACTATCAGCCCCTGCCACCCCAAGAAAGAAAGATGGGAAAACATCATAAATAAAAACCAAGCAGTAAAAAATTCACATTAACTTTGGGGCATTTCCTGAAATTTGTTATTTGAGCCAATCACAAATTTACAAGTACCTCAAAAACGGAGAATGCAATGTGAGTGGGGCAAGTACCTTACATCCACAATTACTACGACAGGAACAAAGAGAACTTAACATGCCGAGGCATAAATATGGAGATACTATCTCCATACATGATAGTCTTTAGATTAATTTGAAAGAGAGAGAAAAAGCTAGGTTTAAATTGCATGTAAGGAAGTTGCGCGAGATTAAGTCTCACTAACCAAGAAGTTTACCTTTAGGGGCCGTTTGAGCCCCATTATTTGTAGATTATAATGAGATGAATAGTGTTTTTTTGAAAAATGAGTGGTTGAAAAGTTTTTTATTTACGTGCAATATTATTTTATTGAAGATTGTGTGGTTAAAAGTAGGAGAGAGAAAAATTTATTTTAATGTACTGAGAAATAATGGGGCTCAAACGGGGGCTTAATTTCTGAAGGATTCCAAATAGCCAGTCAGTCCTCTTTGTTGTCTAGTTTTGCTAATCAGTCAGAATTTAACTTGCTGGTGCTTTCCTGCTGCTCTATTATCACTGTTACAAATTTTTTTTTCAGGAATTATATGGGTGTATGCATTATACAGACAATTAAAAGAAACACACTTTAGCATCAACTAGGCATGTATGGGTGCCTGTTTAGTGAGGATTGAAATTGTGACTATTGCCTCTAAAGCTGCGTGACGGTCTTGATGTTTTGTCATTTTGTTAGATAAGGGCAAAAATCTAGAAATTATTGATGCTTTTGCTGGAATGCAACTTGTCCATATATACATCAAGTTTACACCAGTCAAATTATTATTTTAATTTCGAAGAGAAAGGTGACTGTTGTGATGAGGTTGGGGGGAAGATGAAGAGTAAGTTCACTTTATGAAAAATTACGTCTATGAAGAAGTGTCTCTTGAAGAAATGGTTGCAAGCCTTTGATTGTGATGAACTATAACAAAATAGTCAAAGTCCTATTGAGGACCAATTAACCTCTTTTAGTTGGATGAAGGGAAAAAGCAATACAGAAGGTGAAGGGAAGGGGAAGGGGAAGGGGAAGGGACGGAAAGATAGTTTATAGCAGCAGGTATTGTCGGAACTCTTTAGAGGAATCTTTGAAATTTTTAAAATTTTGGAATTGCCCTTGAATAAGACACTGATAGGTTTATTGGGGGTGGATTTAGTTGTTCCCATTAGATATACTGACAAATCTTAAAAACTCGAAGCATGGACATGGGGGTCTTTTGTTTCATGGATAGTTAAGACGCATTTGTATCTGCTGACACACGGTTACACTGACTTTACAATATGTGATGCGTCTTGATTTACGTGAGAACTTAATGGTTGGTTTTTGAGAGCTCATGACTTTACAAAGTTCTTGCAGTTACAGTTAAGTCACTTTGAATGGGCACTTAAGAGTATTGATTATATGGTCCCTTGTGTGATATGTGAGCTCCTTATTATCCTATTTTCTCTTGGTTTAATCGAGGCATATATTTCAACTGCCTTTGTTCAGGCCTTTGTTGATAGTGGAGCTCAGTCAACAATTATATCTAAAAGCTGTGCCGAGCGTTGTGGGTATGAATTCCTGTTTCTCTCTCCCTCTCGTGGAATTAATCTGTTCTTTGGTAAACCAGGGTATTGGTACTTTTGAATGGATATTTATCATTAATTGTTCACCATTTCCTTCCTTCAGATTGTTGAGGCTTTTAGATACACGTTATAGGGGTATTGCTCAAGGAGTTGGTCAAACTGAGATAATTGGCCGGATACATGTTGCTCCCATCAAGGTATGCATGTAATACACTACTATCCTCATTTTGATAGACTAGGGATTATTCTCTTGTTTTAAAACCATTTTCATGCCCCCCCCCCCCCCACCCCCCCCCCCCCAGCC